CTACACAACGAGCAGAGATCCAACTATGGATATCATGTGATTGGACCAGTAAGACTCAAGATGAAGCAGTTCCTTTTCTTTCTTTCTTTTGACTTCTTAAAACTGGTACACAACATCAAGAAAATGCTCAATGACAATAGGCTATAACGTAATGTTCTAATATGTTGACACTGCATAATGTTTATACTAGGTTGAGAGACCTATTTTCCCAACCATCATTTGCTCATAGGGAGAGCATTCGACATCCTTTCTTCTAGCTTTTTGAGATATGCGGTATTTGATTTTTATTCATGTCAGCATTGTCTATAATTGCTCTTAACTGCCAGGCTCCTGGGAATCAGTTTCCTCCAGTAGGAAGTGTCTGAGATCCCAAAAGATTCTCTGATGATTGCCAGTCTGCAAGGAGAGAAAATGAAGTTACACAGGCAACAAAAACCAAAAATTCTGCATAAAGACTAAGGAGTCTAGAATAATAATTCAAATGACAAAGTACTTTTAAAGAAAGTGATTTTTTTCCAGGCATGTGCAATTGGCCCTAGAGGGTGATGAACCCATAACTGTACTTGTTACAGAAGGACCTGAGGGCCTCACCTTTTAACCTCACAAGAACCTAAACATGTATCTTCCTGACAGAATGACACAGCCAATTAGCTTACTAGTCTGGTCCATGGAATGCAACTGTACAACCTACAACAGAGGGAAGGAAGCCTTTAATCATCTGCTTGGTGTCATGTAACATATGTCACTTGCATTATTTTTAGTTAATCCTTACAACCTACTATTTATGGCCCAGCTATTTCCATTACACAAATAAGATACAAATTCAGAAATATAATGATGTTCCAGAAATTTTTGCATGTCACAGACCAGTATTCAAATGCAAATTCCTTGAGTTCAAAAGCCCTTATTCCTCTTAGAATACAACTGAATCAAATTTGGGATATGCACTCTTTATGTCATTGAATCAAACTCACTGTATAGATCTTCACACAAATTTAACTCCTTCTGATTTGCCATTTTAAGCCATATAATTCCTGGTTTAAGAAGAGATGACTTTGATCAATTTACCTACATATACAAAGTTCCCCTTTAGGTAACCAAGAGTTCACTGTTGCTGGAGAAACTCGGAGAATAATCTTAGCCTTAGCAGATGTCTCTGGACTAGAATTTCCCAAAAGTCAATTGTTCATGGAATGTATTCATAATTATACCATATCCTCATATGTATTTTCATTATTTGTACATTTTTTATTGTATCTACCACAAAGCAAATACAAGCATCTATTAATTTCACATCACTAAAACTCCAGATATGCCTTAAAGTCATCGTCTGTGCCTTAAAAGAAATTTACTAGGCCTTATGCAATACTACTCTAGGAAAATCTGGTCACTTTAGGAATAAATCACAACTCTTACTTGCTTCTTACTGTGATGAAGTTGTTCAGTTGGTATAATACATTGCTTCTAGAATGTTATCCCCTTTGGGGTCTGTGCCACTTTTAAATACCATCCTAGCCCCCAAGGTCATGATGAATATTGTCTCTTTTTAGGCAATAGTGTTTTTTTTATACAAATTTAGTACAGGGTCTACTGGGTCTCACTACACAGATTGGACTCGTAGTGATCCTCCTGTTTTCAACCTTCTAAGAGCTGCGATTATAGGCAAGCACCACCCCGCCCAGTCTCGGTCACCTTCTCAGTGGGCCCTGGGGGTGGGGCCAGAAACCCATGCCTAGGTTCGAAGCCCAGTCCCTGCATCTGCCTAAGCAGGCACTTTAATCAGCTGAGATACTTGGATCACCCTCTTTTTAGGTAATAGTTTTATTAGGACATAATTCACATGCTTTAAAAAATTTACCCAATTCCATGATACATTGACGCACTCATGCAATTACCACCACAAAAAAATTTAGAATATTTTCCTCACTCCAAAGAGCAACCTCACACTCTGTAATAGACATCCCCCATTCTATCGTACCATGTATCCCTAGGCAACTGATAATCTTTCTGATCCTACAGATTTGCTATTCCACTTAGTTAACATAAATGGAATCATACAATGTGTGATCTTTTGTGTCTAGTGTCTCACACTTCATTCGATGTTGTATATAATTTATTTTTACTGATGAATAATTTGTATTTATTGCTGTATTGTATGAAAATATCACATTTTGTGTATTCATCAATTGGTAGACATTTGAGTTTCTTGTACTTTATAGCTATTACATATCATGCCAGTATTAACATTTGTGTACAAATTGCTTATGAATGTACATTTTCCTTTCTTTGAACATACACCCCTAATGGAAATTGTTAAGATAATGAGCATTTTAATAGTGCTTGGGATTATATTTTAAATGACTTTCTTTACCTTCATTTAAACTTTCAAAATATACAGAGTCCCTAACATACAATGGTCCAACATACTATTTTTAAAAATTATGATGATGTGGAAGTGACATGCTCTCAGTAGAAAGCACAGTTTGAATTTTGATCTTTGCTGTGCTAATAACATGAGGTATGATACCATCTTGAGATTCTGGACAATAGCAGCAAAGTGCAGCTGCCAGTCAACAAGGAGATCAATCACAAGGCTAAAGAACTGCTGCTTCAGTGTGCTGTCTGCAAGCAATGGCACTGGCTGAGTTATGTGTAGTATTCATGTTTTTCTTGCCGAGACCAAATACCTGAGAATTAACTTATAGAAGGAACAACTTGCCTTTACTCATGGTTTCAGAGTTCTGGTTCATGAATAGCTCCATTGCTTTTATCCATAAACAAAGCACAACAAACAGGATGAGAAAAAATGCTAGAGGAATATTGCTCTCCTCCTTGTAGCCAGGAAGCAGACAAAGAAGAAAAAAGCCGGAAAGGAACAGGCTGGGGACCAGATACCTTCCCCAAAGTCACACCCCATGATCCACTCTCAAAGGAGCCCTACCTCTTGTCTCCATTGTCTCCTAATAATGCACTCAATTTATGATCTCATCAATGGACTTATCCTCAAGTTAGAGCCCTGGTGATCTAGTCATTCCTAAACCTGTCAGCTGGTAACCAATCCTTTAGCACATGAGTTTTGGGGAAAACATTTCACATCTAAACCACAACAGATGTGTTAAATCCATCAGCAACTTATACAGCAGACTTGTCTGGACATGCATGACCCATCTTATCATAAGTTGTAGGATACCACAACCCAATATATTCGTGGCAACACTAGCCAAACAAGCCCTGCTCTATTTATCACAGAGAAGTGTTATAAGACAGAAATGATGTAATAGTAAGTTGTCAGAAACTGAATAATCTGAATCCTGCCCCCAACCAAGTAAATGCTCTTCTGCAAATAACTGCTTGCTAACCTCCATTGCCCTTATTTGGAAAAATGAAAGAATTAAAATATTCCTCGCCTGGCATCCTTCCTCACTTTAATTCTCTATAATTTTATAAACATGTGTGAAAGCCTTTTTGACAAGTTAAAGGCAGTTCTAAAATATAAGCCATCATTATCACATATTGCCTTCTTGCTGAGAAATGGCTGTGTCCTATAGTGAAATGCCATCAGCATTCAATCTTCAGGAAAAGCATGCCTGAAATAGACCATTTCTCCTATACAACACCATATTCTCATGCCATTCTCAGGCATTTACAGGGCCTCTTAAAGGATGGGTTGATATATTTAATTTTCTCTGGGCAATTCCATTTTCTTGAACTAAAGAAAATCCTGTAAGAGGAACTCATTTGTTCTTCCTATGCATTATATTTGCAGTATTTTCCTGGTAACATAAATGACTTAGAAAAAAATCTTTGAGTTACAACCTTTGGGGTAACTAGAATCACAGTGAAAGCCCCCCATGAAGAACTACATTGCAGAATTAGACAAAGTGAGTACTCCATCAAAGAGAATTTTAAAAGTTACAGATAATTCTGATAAGTAGAAAGAATGCATTTTTACCAAACTATATCATAAGATTAGCCTTAAGAATCTCATGCACCTTATTATTCCCAGTTCTCATAGGAAATAATTGGGCTGTATTATCTATTGTTCTACAATCCCACTCTCCAACAGCCACTTTAACTAAAATCTATCTTCTACCCAGGACCATCTCAATTGTGTAAAGACATCATACTTCCCAACTATAACTTTCTCTTAGTTCTCAGTCATCTTTGTGAGTTAATTCTCACTTTGAATATTGTAGGTGTTTAAATGGCAATGGAATACCCATCTTTGACAAAACTAAACAAAAACAGGGGATGTAAATGAAGGAACATTTTGTATCTGTATATACAAAATGGTTAGGATACATATACATCTACTTTCTACTAATTCAATGAGAAGAAAGATTCATACTTGTAGTGTTTGGACAGCATATCATGTCTGCATCTTGTACTATGAATAACCACGACAAAGACAACAATATGCAATGTATTAATTATTGAAACTGTCCTACTAATCAGTTTTGAAACTGTCTCATTGCTATTTATTTCTCAATAAAACTAATTTAAAAATTAATAAATAAAATTTTTTTACAAGTTCTAACTTTGACTTATCAGTGTAGGTCAGCATGTTTTCGATGTCTATATTTACTCATTTTGGCTATTCAAACATAAGATGTTCAAGTCAAGGGTAAGTATTATTACTTTATAGCAGCAACTGTGTTGGTTACCTAAAACCTATTCTCTCCCCTTCAATGTGATGCAGTGGGAGCCACATGTCACCCTCACACAAAACTTATTTTGCTATGGCAGTTCAAGAGTAGAATCCTACAATTATTTGAGGTCTAGGATCTTATATAAGAACTCTTATAGAGCTATTCCTCCTCCAAAATCATGGATATGACTTTTCTCTTTCATGACTAGTCTGTTTGTTTGTTTGTTTGTTTGTGGAACCAGGGATTGAACTCAGGCCCTTGTGCTTGCCAAGGAAGTGCTTATTCTACTGAGTGATCTCCCCAGTCCCCAACTACAATCTTTTAAATCACAAACAGATGATCTTGGAATTGTAGGAGGCACTGGCTGCTCTGGGACTCTGGTGAGCGCGGCGGTTGCTGGTGGCTTCTTTGCAGATGTATTGCTGACCTTGAACATCGTTCTATTTGAAGATTGCAGGAGAGCTTAGCCGTCAGTATGTCCAAGTACAGACTTATTATACTGAGACATGGTGAGGGTGCTTGGAACAAGGAGAACAGATTTTGCAGCTGGGTGGATCAGAAACTTAACAGCGAAGGACTGGAGGAAGCTCGGAATTGTGGGAAGCAACTCAAAGCACTCAACTTTTAGTTTGATCTTGTGTTCACGTCCATCCTTAATCGGTCCATCCACACAGCCTGGCTGATCCTGGAAGAGCTGGGACAGGAATGGGTCCCCGTGGAAAGCTCCTGGCGTCTAAATGAGCGGCACTACGGGGCCTTGATTGGGCTCAACAGGGAGAAAATGGCTTTGAATCATGGTGAAGAGCAAGTGAGGCTGTGGAGGAGAAGCTACAATGTGACCCCACCCCCTATTGAGGAGTCCCATCCATACTACCATGAAATCTACAATGACCGGAGGTATAAAGTATGTGATGTTCCCTTGGATCAGCTGCCTCGATCTGAAAGCTTAAAGGATGTTCTGGAGAGACTTCTGCCCTACTGGAATGAAAGGATTGCTCCTGAAGTACTGAAAGGCAAAACCATTCTGATATCCACTCATGGAAATAGCAGTAGAGCTCTCCTGAAACATCTGGAAGGTATCTCAGATGAAGACATTATCAATATCACTCTTCCTACCGGAGTCCCCATTCTCCTGCTGCTGGATGAGAACCTACGCGCTGTTGGGCCTCACCAGTTCCTGGATGACCAAGAGGCCATCCAAGCAGCCATTAAGAAAGTGGATGACCAAGGCAAAGTGAAACAAGCCAAAAAATAAAGATTTTACTACATGGTGGCCGGCCAGGAATAGATGTGCCATGCATTGTGTTACGGGTGCTGATTTCTCTCATTGTCCCCTGATTTTTTTCAGATATTTCCAAGGTTAGGTGGTAGTTTGTAAGTTTATTTTGGTCCAGATAATGCTTAAAGATGCATAAATACTTATGTCATAGCCTTAGGGGTTGACTTCCCTGCTAATCCTGTTTGAGAAGTCACTAAACTAGTAACCAGTGAGGTTTAATCAGGTCATTTTGTTAGTTTCTGAGTTGGGAGAGTGACAAATGGAGATAAAGCTTAAGGTACTCATTATTCAATAAATCAGACACCATCAATAGGAACTCTACCAATAGGTAGTTCACTTTTTATTTCATAACATTTTCTAAGATGATAATGGATTACTGGATAATGTACTGTGCTTATATTTAATTCTAGTCTTTTCTTTTAGGAAAAGGAATGATTTGGTAGCTAAGAGCAGAGGCCCTTTGAGTAGGAAAGTCACAGATGATTGTTTCAAGGATGTTGACCAGCAGCATAACAAGGTCCTGTCTTGAGTCCTTTGATTGACATTTAGATGACTATTTATGATCCATTTTTTGTTTGTTGGTTTTTGACCTTTAACTTTTGGATCCTTATAGTTGGTTTAAAAATAAAGTGCTGTGACTGACAAAAAAAAAAAAAAAAAAAAAACAGATGATCTTAGGGATTTGTCCAGTTTAAAGTAGAAAAATAAGTACCCATCAAAGATATGTAATTATCTTAATGTCTCTGGAGGTCTCAACCATTCAGTCACCCTTTAATAGTATCCAGTGTCTATTCTTCTGCCTAATTTCCTTTGCTCAGGCTAGAGTTGTGTAAAACTGTAAAAATAATTCATTCTCTGAGATCCAAGCTAGTGTACTCAAAGGTTAAGTCTTCATTCCTACAGCCACCTCATGCTACAAAATCTGCTATGCACATTTTATGCACCATACTCTGTATATAGATGCTCTTGAATCCTGTCTTTCTTTTAGCAAAAAAAAAAATTCTTTCAGCTCCAAATTTCCAATCTAAATTTCTAGTTGATATTTCCAGGAATATGTCTGTTGGGTACCTGAAATCCGACCTATTTCAACATAAACTATTCCTCCTCCTTTTTGAAATGATTTACTCTCAATGTTAGGTATTCATGTATCTAAACCACAGAGTCAAGGAAGTAAAGAGCCTTATGATTGTCTGTCTTCTCCAGACTTTGTCGTACCCTTCCTTTCACTGAACACAGTTCACCTAACATATGCCAGGCACTGAAAGTGCAGTAGTTATCCAAGTAACCAAATCCTCAGACGCTTATATAGCACTAGAAAGAGACAGACCATGAGGCAATAATTAAATGACTATATAATATAACAGGTAACAATCAATGATATGAAGACAAATTAGAAGATCCAGGATTTCTATTTGCTGTACCATCAGGTAAGATCATATTAGAATTACCACCTTTAGAGCTGGGGAGGTAGCTTCACTGTCTAAACACCTGCCTGTCAAGCACAAGGACTGGGGTTTAATCCCAGTTACCACATGCTGTGCTGGCTCTGGAACCCAGGCATGCCATACCAGCCACTGAAAGAGTGCATGGTGGCACACGCCTGGAATCCCAGCACTGGGGGGGCTGAGACAGAAGGATCACTCTGAGTCTGAGCAGCACACCAAGACCCTATAACAAACAAACAAATAAATAAATCATTTTTTAAAAAAAAGATATAACTAAAATTATCAAACTTACTGGTGACACAAGCTTTGATTTCTGAAATAGAACGGCTAAGGCACATGGGGAGACGATCACTTCAGTGCACCAATGCTGTGTAAACCCTCCTCGAAGTTATAGTATGCCCTTAATATAAGGCAAAACACAGATACAAAATGGTCTTTCATCTGTATCCCCTTTTTTTGTTTAGTTCCATCATTTAAATATTATAGGTGTGTGAATTCAGCAATATATTCCAAAATAGTCCAGTAGTCCCTAAGAGTAGTGGGTTTTCCACTTGACTCGTAGTATCAGAAGTTGTTGACTTGAGTCCCCTATAGCTCAGCATAATAATATGGCTTTACTTCATTTTTTTTTCAAAATTTTATTGATAAACAGATAGCAATGAGACAGTTTCAGATCAAATCGGAAGTACAGTTTCAACAAATAACACACTGCATATATTCTTCTTAGTGGTTAATTGCTGTACAAGATGAGGACTTGAGATCTTATTTACAAACACCATTAGAAAAAATCATTCTGTTCATTAAGAGAATGCAACTATATATCTATCCTAACCACTTTGAATACACAGATACAAAATGGACATTCATTGGTATACCCCATTTTTTTCTAAGTTCCGATATTGAATATTATAGATGTGTAAACTCAGCAAAATATTCTAAAAGAGTCCAGTAGCCCATAATAGCATTGGGTCTTCTGTTTAACTGGCAATGTCAGAAATTATTGACCTGAGTCCCCCACAGCTCAACATAACAGCATGGCTTTACTTCCTATATTTCGTCTTCATACTTTTCTACTGGATGGTTAAGACCAAGGTAAAGCAGGACCTATGCAACAAGAGTTGTAGGTTTTTGGTCTGAGAAGGTCAGTGAAATGCCCTCAGGATTTATCCTGAGATCCTGTACCTCAGATTGTAGAACCTTTGTCAGTGCAGCCATGTGGATGAGTCACGGCCATTGCTTGGCCAATGTGCTATTCTCTTAATTCAATGAATAGAGGGATTTGTTCTAATAGTGTTTGTAAATAGAATATCATGTCTGCATCTTGTACAGCAAATAACCACTAGGAAGACAGTATGCAATGTGTTAATTATTGAAACTGTCCTACTAATTTGATTTGAAACTGTCTCATTGATATTTGTTTCTCAATAAAATTATGGGAAAAAAAATAAAGCAAAACCGAGTTGTTTGTGCTTTAAGGAAGACAGACCTAACTCCACCCTCCCCCAGGCACACCACATATTCCAAACAGAAGAGTGACCTGTTGTGTTCCTTGAATACAATGCAGAATAGGATTCTGAGGAAAGGGAAAGGACATGAAAAGAGAGTAAATTGGGGCTCGCAAATATTTATGCAATGCTTATGCAGAAAAAAGAATCACAGCCTGATTCCTATTTGCAACAAACAAGCAAAAATTACACATATGCATGCACCAGGGAAGCTGAGACCTCCTATTGCCACTGCCAGAGGAACACAGTGGAAGCTGTGCGCAGTAGCTTCATGCTTGCCCATCCTGCGTGTATAACAAACTTACGATTTCCAAAAATTAGGTAAAAGTACATGAAAATAGTGAGACAGATAGCACTCGTGATGGACCTGAACTGAAGACTCATCCAATGTGATGACACTAGAGGGAAATCTGAGTGAATGGGAAGAAGTAGCAAGCAGCAAGCTGAAGAGCAGAAACAGAGCAGTTAAAGAATGAGCTGAGTCCACAGTTGAGAGGTTTTTGAGTGTCCAGTGAGATTCGTGAATGTATACCAACATCAGAGGT